ATCTGGGCCAATCTCCATACAAATACTCTGACCTTTGATGGGATTTTCACTTTCCAAATCTTCGACCATGATCTCCTCTCTGCCTCCTTATTAGAGTTGCTCGCGCGGTGTTCAAGCCACTCCTCTCGCTGATGTTTGATGCCTGAAATCATCTTATAAGCAGAACGAACCGAGAACACTCCCCTTTTATCATAGTGCCATGCCCAAAAATCTTGCTGGACTCGGAAGCTGAGTGGGATACTCATAATGACATCAACATCAGGCTTCACAAAATGCTGCATAAGAACTGGCCTATTCCATGTCCTCGATGTTGGATTGATAAGTTCCGAGACAGTTTGAGGAGGATCAGGGGAGGTAGAGCACATAGGTTTTAACATATAATCCCTCGGCAACTAGTTCTCGTGCCAAATACTTGTGTTCTCCCCCGAGTCGATCCTCTTAATTAAGCCCAAAGCTAGCACATCTCGTCCTTCTATCAATGATCGCCACACCTGGGAGGGATGAGCTCCCAAAGTCGCCTCCAGAATAGATCCATCTGGGAAATATCTTGCCTTCAATACTCTCGCACTTAGAGAGCTTGGCTCTTGAAGAATCCTCCAAACCTGGCAAGCTAGTAGGGCTAGGTTAAAAAGTTCAATATCGCGAAAACCCAGTCCTCCCATGAATTTTGGTTTACACATAGTTTCCCATGAAACCCAAGCCGGCTTCCTCTACCCTTGCTTGCTGCCCCACCAGAACTTTCTCAGCATGCCATTTATATGCTCGCAAAGACCCCGCGGTAACTTGAAGCACGACATAGAGTAAGTTGGTATTGCTTGCGCGACTGATTTAATAAGGACTTCCTTCCCTCCCACAGACAAGCACTTCTCCATCCAACCTTGGACATGCTTCCATATTCGATCCTTAAGATATTTAAAGCATCCTTCCTTGGCTCTACCAACATCACTTGGTAAGCCCAAGTATTTGTCCGACAGCGCCTCATTATGAACGTCAAGAACGTTCTTAACTTCCATTCGGGTAGCCTCAGAAACTCCCTTACTGAAATAAATAGATGACTTCTCCATATTTATTCGTTGTCCTGAGGCGTCACAATATAATTTCAGCAACTCATTCACCCTGGTTGCACTCTCCGCGGTTGCTTCGAAAAATAACAGGCTGTCGTCAGCAAACAACAAATGGTTCACCGCAGGCGCAGAAGCTGCTACTGACAGGCCCCTCACGCCACCTCCGTGTGATTTCAATAAGCATGAGAGCCCTTCCGCCGCCAAAAGAAATAGATATGGCGATATTGGGTCCCCCTGACGAACTCCTCGGGAGGGCCTGAAATCATCCAACCTTCCACCATTAAACAGAACGGAGAAAGAAACTGACGAAACGCACCTCATGACCGCATCCGTGAACACTAGACTAATACCCAGTTTGAGCATTACAGCTCTAAGGTAAGACCATTCTAGCCTGTCATACGCCTTCATCATATCAAGCTTCAATGCACAAAAACGATTGTACTTGATCTTCCGTGATTTCATGTAGTGGAGGCACTCATATGCCGTTATGAAGTTGTCAGTTATAAGACGTCCAGGAACGAAAGCGGATTGCTCTTCGAAGATCACATCGGGGAGGATTACTTTCAGCCTATTGGCTAAGACCTTTGATGCTATCTTGTAGATGACGTTGCAAAGACTTATAGGCCGAAATTTTCCTAAAATTTTTGGACTTGCAATCTTGGGAATAAGAACGATGAACGTATTGTTAATATCCTCTGGTGAGTCTTCTCCATTTAGCACCCTCTTGATCATGCCTGTTATCTCATCTCCACATAGTTTCCAGTGCCTTTGAAAGAAATGTGCGGGGAAATCGTTAGGCCCGGGAGCCTTGGTCGGGAACATCTGAAAAGTGCCTCCTTTATCTCCTCATTCACATAAGGCGCATTGATCTTAGAGTTCATATCTCCATTGACTCTCATAGGGATGTGGGATAGCACCTCCTCCATGCCAATTGTACCTTCTAATGTATATAGATTCTTGTAAAAGTTGGTGGCCATACCTGCCATTTCCTCCGGATCTGAACTCATCGAGCCATCCGGCCGTTGGAGCTGTACTATTCTGTTTCTTGCCCTCCTCGCACTTGCTTTTTTCTGAAAGTATTGAGTGTTGCTATCTCCTTTCGAGAGCCATTTTATGCGTGAACGTTGCCTCATCATGATTTCTTCTCGGTATGACAACTCCACCAGCCTATCCTGGACTTCCTTCTCCTCGCTGCCTGGCCCGACCCGATCCGGTGCAGCTCTCAGGGCTGCAAGCTTCAACCGAAGCTCCCTCATCTCTTGACGGACAGATCCAAAGGTCCTCCGCCCCCATCGTTTCAGTTGGTCAGCCACCGTATTAAGCTTTGCCGAGAGCATAGCAGCTGTCGTAGCTGGCTGCTGTGCCGTCCAAATTTGCTCCATGTGAGTTTTAAAACTTGGTTCCCTCTCCCACATGCACTCATACCTGAATGGTTTCCTCATCACCAGTCGTACCTCACCCTCGTCTTGCTCGGTACTCAATAAGATGGGGCTATGATCTGACTTTGCCGCCGTCAAGTGCTCCAGCGATGCAAACGGGAACATTGTTGACCATGTTGGGCTTGCCAAAGCTCGATCCAGCCGGACACGACAATAATCACCTCCCAAAATCCGTGTCTCAAACGTCCAGTCTAGACCCTTGTATCCCAAATCTGCTAGCTCACACACATCCACCGCTTCTCTAAAGCCAGCAATCTGAGCAGCATCTCGCTCGTTTGGGCCAAATTGCTCCTCTGGCCTCAATATCTCATTGAAATCGCCAATGCAAACCCAAGGCAGAGAGCTCTCACCACGTAAAATTTTCATTGTATCCCACGTTTTATATCGTAAACTCCTACTAGCAGCCCCATAGAAGCAAGAGAGCCGCCAAGGATCTTTCCCTGGTTCTGTCACCACCGAGTCAATGTGATAGTGTGAGAAAGTTTTTATTTCCAAATTGATATTATTCTTCTAGTACAAGCATAAACCTCCACTCCTACCACTACTTCCTACTCCAAAACTACTATCAAAACCTAATCTACCCGCCAAGCCTTCCACCCGGCACTTTGCAATTTGCGTCTCCACAATACATAGCACCATCGGCGCACAAGCCTCCACAAGATCATGGAGCTCACGAACCGTCGCGGGATCGCCAATTCCACGACAGTTCCAGCATATAGTATTCATTGTGCTCGGCGGTCCTCCTCGCGGGAGGCCGCCACTGCATCATCCATGTCCTCCGCCCCATCTCCTCCACCATGCTTCCTCCTCTTGATCACTTGATTCTTTTCCGGGGTAGACACCGGGTTGTTTGCTTCTGACGTAGAACCTTCAATCATTAGCACATTTCCCGCCACCCTACCAGCAAGATTTGGTACTGGTTGACCCCTGATCATGAGTGTGCCATCTGCATCCACCAGTCGCTTACGTGCCCCTTTCTCCTCTCCCTCATTCCCTGTCTGGTACCCCACGTCCACCCCCGCTATGCCAGGTGTTCCATTCTCCCGGCCTGCTGTCGGCCCTCCCCTTCCTCCAACTACTCCCGTACTCCTCCCGCCTCTGCCTCCTCTATCCCCTCTTCCTCCCATTCTTCCATGATTCCCCCCTCCATCATCACTAGCCCTACCGTTCCAAGGCCGGTCTATTGGGGTCTCAGTGTCCCATAACAGCCAATCACCCCATTCAAAGGTCCTCGGATCGTGAACCCCATCTCCACATTCCTCGGCTAAGTAACCCACCCGGCCACACGCATAGCAAAAACCAGGTAGTTTCTCATAGTAGACGCTGAACTTCTTATGTTCCTTCAACGTGATAGGCACAAATCGGACCAGAGGTGTGTTCACATCCAGAAACACCCGCGCCTGCAAAGTACTTGCGGGGTTTATCCTTCCTTCGTTTACAATAACATTGAACGATGGCTCCCCAATCTTTGCTGCCACCCTTTCTGTGAGCTCCCTCCTCCTCGTTAACCCATCCGGCAGTCCTTTAACCCGAGCCCAAACTGGAAACTTGTTCAACCTATACTTTGTAACATCTGAAAAGCCATCATACTCCTGCAGCACCACCGAAGCCCTCCTAAACAGCCATGGCCCGCCTTCCATGATCTTCTTCCAGTCCCCCAAACAGTGGCATTGAACGAGAAAAAGGTTTGGTCCCTTAACATTGAAAGTGACCCCCTGTGCAGCCATCCATGCATTCCTCATCTGGGTCAAAAGAGCCCCATGGCTAAACGGCTTCGTGGTATGCACATGAAACAGAGCCAGCCAACGCACGTCCTTCACCAGATCTTCAACTTCCTCAGAGAAATCAAGGTCTTGTTCCTCCTCTCCATGCAGCCTCATGCCAGCAAATTGGTCTTCCAGATCAGGTTGGGGTCCTAAAAATTCTCCATTAACTTCCTCCTCCTTTTTCGATCTACCACCTCCCCCCATGCCACCTCCCATACTGCTTCTGTCCTCCGCGCTCCTTCCGCTTCGCGCCGCCCTTCCTGGCGATCCACCGATCGGCTTGCCATCTTCTCCAGATCCCACCTCTCCCCTGTTCGCCATCTAACCCTAGCCCCGTCTCTTCCATCCCTGCCGCCCCAATCTTCCTTATGTCAGCCATGCAGATTGCTTCGCACAGTCGTAGGTGGTAGCCCTTGTCGGCCCGATCGAGATGAGCGGATGCCGGCGAGGTTTGTCGTAGACTCTGGCTTGATCGCCGGAGGAGAAGGTGGAACCCTAGGAAAACCCTAGGGGAAGGCGTGGCTACACTGGTTAGTGCGTATTAAAAGAAACGAGACATAGTCTTGACCGGAGGCAGCCGTTCTGTCGTTGGACCAGGCCTGAATCCAAACAGACTGCCATTTCTGAACCAGGCCGGAGCGAGGGAGCCCATTTTACCCGTTTTCCATTTGGTATAGCTGAGACTCTTCTCAGTCGCGCTCGAACACGAACACGAAGGCCGTGCCCGCCCCATGGCTCGCCTCTGCTTCACCACGCCCATGCCGCACCTCCGCCGCCGCTACTCCTCCTCCACCTCGCCGCCTTCACGCCGCTGGGAACCCCGACCCGCCTTTGCCGCAGCCACGGAGCGCGTCCGCGCCGGGACGCTCAGCCCTGAAGACGCACACCACCTGTTCGACGTATTGCTACTGCAGGCCAACCCGGTCCCCGAGCGCTCCCTCAACGGCTTCCTTGCCGCGCTCGCCCGTGCTCCGGCCTCCGCTGCTTTCAGAGATGGACCCTCCCTTGCTCTCGCCCTCTTCAACCGCGTCTGCCGACAAGAAGCAGGGCCACGGGTGGCGCCGCCCACAGTCTGCACCTACAACATCCTCATGGACAGCTGCTGCCGTGCATGCCACCCGAACCTAGGCCTTGCCTTCCTCGGCCGCTTCCTCAGGACGGGCCTCAAGGCAGACCAGATCGTCGCCAACAACCTCCTCAAGTGCCTCTGCCACGCAAAACGGACAGATGAGGCTGTCAACATGCTGCTTCATAGGATGTCCGAGTTCGGTTGTGTGCCTGATGCCATCTCATACTCCATAGTACTTAAGAGCTTATGTGACAATAGCAGGAGCCAGCAAGCGCTCGATCTGCTCCAGATGGTAAGGAAAGGAGGTGCCTGCTCCCTCGATGTGGTGGCATATAGCACAGTCATCCACGGCTTCTTTAAGGAGGGTGAAATAAGCAAGGCATGCAATCTATTCCATGAAATGGTGCAGCAAGGGATTGTGCCTAATGTGGTGACATATAGCTCGATTATTGATGCCTTGTGCAAGGTCAGGGCGATGGACAAGGCAAAGCTGGTCC